CGGCAGTGGCCGCGTCGCGGCGCCGCTGCTCCTGCTCGGCGCTGAAGCGCTCCTGCGCGCTGGTCAGGTAGTAGCCGATCATCTCCTCGTGGAACTGGTGCCGGTGGCTGGTGAGCAGCAGGCCGGCGAAGATGAACTTGCGCTCGCCCTGCATGGCGGCGCGCAGGATGTTGAGGCTCAGCTTCACGTCCGTGCTGTACTTCCAGGCGTCGCCCCGCGGCCCGCCGCCCTTCTCCGCCGGCGACGCGCCCGCCGCCTTGTCCGTGGGCGACGGCGTGGTCTTCTCCGAGGGCGACGTGCTTGCCGACGCACCCGACTCCTCCTTGCTGCCCTTGCGCGACTTGGCCTTCTTCTCCTTGCCCCGGTCTGCCGAGTCCCCGTTCTTGCCGTTGGCGGAGTTGGCGCGGCCCATCTTGCCGTGCACCAGGCCGCCGAGACCGCCCATGTTTTTCTTCAGCTTGATGCCCAGCGTCTTGCTGAAGCTGCCCAGCTTGTTGGCCACGGAGTCGGCGCGCGTCTTGTCCTTCTCCTTGCGCTGCTTCTCCTTCTCCTTGTCCTTGCCGTTCTTGCCGTTATTGCTGTTGGAATTGCTGCACACCGAGTCGCGGTCCGAGTCCAGCGAGTCGGCCAGGGACTGCACGTCCTCCCCTGCCGAGGCCGTGGGAGACTCCGGTTGTGCCAGGGGCGCCTGTGTGGAGAGGGAGGGCCGGAGTGAAGATGGTTAGAGAAGAGCGGTCCACGGGCTGGCCGAGGAAGAGACACCTTGCCCCGGTCTTGCCAAGGCTGGGGCCCTCAAGGTTCACTGTCCCAGCCCCCACTGTCTCTCTGGTGACTATGATACCTGGATGGGCGGTGCTGAAGGAAAGGAGTGGAAAGGAGTGGGCTCTGATTGGCTGCAGCAGTAAAAGGATGTAGGGACTTCTTATCTGCGTGTGTCTTCTGGCCACGGAAGCTGGGGTGTACTCATTCTTTCTCTCTGGGGGGCCTCAGGTACTTGGTAGCCTGGAACCCTGAGTGGGGGATTGGGACATGGTGCAAATACCCCACTGGCCTTGGTCCCCAGAGCCTTGTCACAGTTCAGAGAATGATCAGGTTCAGACTCTGGCCTTCCCCACTAACAAGGCCGCCTGCTTGACCAGACACAGGTCCCAGGCCAGCCTCTGTGAAGATGGAGGCCTTCAGGTGGGGAGGACACTGGGCCTGCACAAAACTGTCTCCCTTGAAAAGATGTCCCGCCTCCTCACGCCAGGCAGGGGACAGAAACCTTGTACTCACTCTCATTCATCGGATCTTGAATCAAACACCCCCTTGATTCAGGGATGCCAAATTGCTTCAGGGGTTCCTTTCTCACTCAGTTTGGCAAGGTGGAGTGCTAAATTGAGGAGGATTCTGAAATAGGCCTGCGCTCAGCAAAAAAGATTTTCCCATTCCCAGAAAAGGACCCCTGGGTGGTTTGGGGTGGGGTGACGCTGGGAAGCACGGCTTGGATGAGACCCACTGAGGTGGTCAACCAGTCTGAGGAGGGCACGACCATATCTGGGGCGGGGAGAACCTGAGAAAAGAGATGGGAGGGCAGAGAGGCAGGCAGCACCTACTGCGTCTGCAGAGGGACCTCCCTGGGTGAGGAGAGAATTCTGACTGTCACTGGACGAGAGGCAGGATCCCTCATGCTGGCTGCTGGGTGCTGCAGGAACTGGTGCCCATACCTGAACAGGCTTCCTTGGCCTCCAGGGGATGAGCCTGGGAGAAGGCTCCCATTGCTCCCCCACTTAATTTTTGTCTCCCCACCCCCAGGCCCCTCAAGCAAGTCCATGAGTCAGTGACTGTCCTGTGACCAGGTCACCCTGAAGCAAACGTGGGCAGAACTGACCCACACCACCTCCCACTCTGAAATTCCTTTCCCCTTCCCACCTGGGATAGGAAGGTGTGAAGTGTCTCAGACCAGTGTGTGAGACACTAAAGGGTGGACACGGGCTGGGCCAGGAACGGAGGTGCGGCTGGTGCTAGCAGGAGGGCACTGAGAGCGGGCTCAGGAGTCCCTGGCTAGAAGAACCCTTCCCACGGTTGTCAGCTGAGAGCCTTGCATCTGACATGAAGGCACCGAGGCCTGGCAATTGCAGGCAAAGCTATGCTCAGCCCGAGAGCCTCCTGGTTCTAGATCCTGAGCCGCTGCCATCACTCCCCATGTGGGTGCTGAAGAAGAACAGCCACAGCACCACCGGAGTGCTCCACGCCTTTGAGAGGCAGCACTCAGACTGCCACCGACTGGCTGTCACTTACGCCATCAGTAAAATGGGGTATCAGTCCTCGCCTCGTGGAGCCCTGGGAGATGAAGTACAGGCAAAGGCCGGAGTCTGAGAGCACTGAGCAGTGCTGACCACCACCCGACTCCTTGACTTACACCTCTCCTTTACTAATTCCTTATGAGCCCCACTTCAAGCCTAAGTAACTGGCTGGAGAGGACCAATTATTTGCAGGCTGTTTTTTTTACAAATCTTTTTCCCTGGTAGCTCACTACTGAGATTTCAGAAAACATCAGTCAGATGCTTAAAATGAATCGCTCAGCGTCTGCAAGCAGGGGTAGCCCCGACCCTCTGGAGGCAGGCAGCCTCACAGGGCACGGGCCCCTCTCCTCACCTTCCTGCCAACTCCACCCACCAGCGTGCTGCCTCCGGGAGGGGAGGAAGGGGGCGCCGAGGAATCGCGTGCTCAGTTCCCTGGCTTTCTTGAGGACCCACACAGTTTATAATTAATTCCGCTCTGCGGCAGCACATTGTGTTCTGATCTCAGTAGAGATAGTTTTGTGTTGTGACTTGCCTGTCGCTTGTTTTCTGAGTGGGCGTGTTTATTCCTTCTCCAGAAAATAGGGGGACAAAAATCCTTTTACAAGAGTGCATGCTTGCATGCACACATGCCTACACGTGTGTACACACCCACTGGGTCCAACCAGAGCCACTTCAAACCCCAGCCAGGGTGGCTAGGTCAAAGGGATGGGGGAGCTACTGGGCTGTGGGTATGGCTGGCGTGGGTGACCAGGCAGGGGCAGGCAAGAGTGTGGGAGCATTTGGGAGGATGCACCCTGGCCAGGCTGGAGCTGAGCAGCCTGGACCCTACCGCCAGATCTGGTCCCAGCACAGCCAGGCTCACCCGTGTCTCGGAGGGGATCCGGATCCATGTCACATTCATGTAGCTGTGCAGAAGGTTCAGCTTGGCTTCTAGCGACAGGATAAGGCTGGCAAGAGAAGAATACCCTATTGAAATGGTCTGAGCTGGCCCTTGCAGCACCCAGCCCACCTGCATGCCAGCTGTCCCAGGAGGAGCAGGGGTGGTACAGCCCCTCCCCAGGATACCCCAGCCATAGCCCTCCCTGTGGGCGCTGGGGGAAGGGACAGAGTAGGGTCTTACTGGGCCAGCCGGGCGTTATCGTTGTCATCTTTCCCCCACTCCCAGTCCTTGCCAGGGTCCACTGCAAAGTGCAGAGGCAGCAGCTTGTGCTCAGAATCCGTCAGGGGGATCACGGCTGGAACAGAAGAGACAGAGCCGTGCTGGGAGCCCCGGCATTCCCCAGGGAGGATGGGAAGGAAATTCCCAAGCCAGGTGTTCAAGTGACAAGTGCACCGAGTGGAGATCTACACAGATCTGTGCCAGCAGGAGCATGAAGACCAAAACCACTATTGCTAGTTTTTAAAATTCCATATTTATTGCAGACAGTGGAGAGCAGTTGGAAGCGTCACCTGGACCCTGGGTCTCTTTGGGTCTGTCCAATGGCAGATACTCCGTTGGGCATCAGAATGGGAAAAAAGCTATTGCTGCTTCTGCTATTTCTAGGAAGGATCTAGGCAGGTTAGGCACACTTTGGGAGGCTACCTTGCAGGTGGGCCTGGGGCCCAGCTCTCCTGTCTCATCCCAGAGAAAGGCTGAATGTACAAGTCAGGTGAGCAAGGGTGTTGCTGACCTCTACTGGTTTGTGGTTTTGTGCCACAAGTCTGTGTCAGTGCCTGGGACCCGTGGACCCACCCGCCCCTGCCCGTAGGAAGCTCACCTGTGCTGGGGACAGATAAGCAGGTTAACAAACACCTCATAATGTCAGGTGGTGATGAGCCCTGGAAGGGTAAACAGCAGGCAGAAGGCAGTGATGGTGAAGCCTTTCTCGGGTGGGGTCAGAGGGTCCTTTTGAGGAGGTCACATGTCAGTGGAGACTGCAGTGATGAGCAACTGGCTGGTCATTTCTCAGAGGGATTGACTCATCACAAAAGCTCTGTGGTGAAACTCACCACTCGTGGGAAATCCTGGCTCACTCCAGGAGGGCTAGGGTGGAGGGGGTGTCTACAGGTTTGGGATCTAGGAGCTTCTGAGCTGCTGGGGGACCTGATGAGAGGAGTTCCTCGTGACATGACTGACTCCTCCCAAGGGCATTGTCGGGGACAAGGGCGGGAGGAAGTGGGAGATGATCTCCCCAAGTCTTTCCTCGGAGCAAGCAGCAGCCTCCTGTGGGCTCCAGTTAGCTCCCCTGCAGGCCCCACTCCTAGAAGTCACACCACAGCAGAGAAGCACAGCCCAGGGCCTTGGGTCAGCTGCTTTGCCTCTTTGCTGGAGCCCGTGATTCACAGCAAGGCTGCCATGGCAAGAACAAAAAGGCAAGGAAATAGATCAAATCGAAGACTGAATACCAATAGTTGATTTGGTAAGAAATTGGAAAAACTGACTCAATGCTGCCCTCCAGTGTTGCTTAAGAGGAAAAGTGGGTACAAGTAATTCCCCTCTCCACCCCTGCACCTTTTCTTCCCCAGCCTCCCCAAGCTGCGAATAAGGGAAATGCAGCTTTGCTGACCAATGGCCAGCTCCGGGCTTTCCTTTCTTTTCTTTTTTCTTTTTTTTTGAGACGGAGTCTCGCTCTGTCGCCCAGGCTGGAGTGCAGTGGCGCCATCTTGGCTCACTGCAAGCTCTGCCTCCCGGTTTCACGCCATTCTCCTGCCTCAGCCTCACGAGTAGCTGGGACTACAGGCACCCGCCACCACGCCTGGCTAATTTTTTGTATTTTTAGTAGAGACGGGGTTTCACTGTGTTAGCCGGGATGGTCTCGAGCTCCTGACCTTGTGATCTGCCCGCCTTGGTCTCCCAAAGTGTTGGGATTACAGCGTGAGCCACTGCGCCTGGCCCGGGCTTTTCATTAATCTGGCTTGGGATTGGAAAGTGCAGTGCTCTGATTTGAGAGGTCAGGGGCAGCTCGGCCTGGCTTTGCTGCAGCCTGCTGGGTTCTGCCTTGACGTGGCCACCCTTCCCAGGTCTGAGCTGCAGAGTAGACACACCCAGGGAGGGCTGCAAGGCTGGCTCAGGGACAGGTCTCCCTTGGGTGGTGCCCAGCAGCCTGTCCCATAGTTGTATGAGTCACTACACAAACAGAGAGGGGGTTAGCCTCGCTTCTTACTCACGGGGCAGGGGGTGGCACAGGCTCTCCCCATCCACAATGTTTCCCCAAATACAGCAGTGCAGCTCCTGGGAGTTCCAAGCCCCCACGAACAGATGGACCAAACCAAAGTGTCCAGGAAAACGACTCAGAAAGTGACATTTTAAATAAGCATCTCCTGTGGCTTTTAAAATCAAGCAAATTCAGGAAATATTGTTCTAGAACAAGAATAATCTGTTAGAAGCAGTTCCTGTGGGTGCAACTTGGACATTTTGGGTCTGGCTGTCCACCCGCTTCCCAGGGTAGAATTGCCATTGGAGAGCATCAGCCCAGCCACCACTCCATGGCTTAGCCACCCCGCCCCCAGGATTTAGGGGGAACAGGCACCTAGCGGCACCCATGGTCTGTGGGCAGAAGCAATGTGGGAAGTGTTGGGTGATGTGCTCAGGCATAGGGGGGCCTCTCCCCCACTTCCCTTCCATGGTGCCTGCAGAAGACAGCAGATCCCCACTAAAGAGCTGCCTGACAATTGAGAACACTCCCTTTAGACTTCCACTGTGTTAAGCCACTCTGATTTTGGTTTGTTTGTTTCAGACAAACCACCTAAGCTAAGACGGCACTCCAGTCACCCTCACCTCTCTATCATGGGGTTCCTGGGGACTCCTCCCCTCAACAGCAGGGCTGGAATGGACTCCCTTCCATTCCACCTGCCCAGGGCTCCAGTGCACAGTGGCAATACCCCTGAAGGGGCTACTGCCTGTCCTCCTAGAAGGGCCCTGCAGCCTTGCGGCCTAGATCTGGCTGGGGTGAAGGGCCAGCTACTGAGAGAGGCTCTAGGGACGTGCCTGCTCACAACGGAAGACACCGAGGGGCTTAAAGGCAGGCTTCTCTGCAGAGGGTCAACGGCGGCCTGTGGTGAGGGCTAGGGCTGCAGAGCCCAGGGACAGCTCAGGCCAGGAGGCCATGAAAACAGGTCCTCCTTGTGAGCAGCGGCTGTTGGGGATGCTTCTGCCTCTCACTGTACACTCTGACATTTCCCTATTGGAAACCTGGCTTTACCAGCGAGTAGCAGACGCACAGCGGCTTGCCCTCTGGTGGTAAATGTCTAGAACAGCAACTGCTTTTCAAAATGAGCCTAGAAAGGCCAGAAAGCTGTTTTGTTTTTGTTTTTGAAAGGCCTCTTGTATGTCCTTTAGCCTGGAAACACACAGCCATCATCTCATACTAGCCTGAATATATTCTGGGTACGTATTTTCTAAAAAATCAAGATTTCTGGTTTTTGTCTCCGATGTGAGAAGCTGGAAGAGCACTGTTCCACCATGACAACGTGCCAGTCAAACTGCAAATTCACAACTTATCTTTAACCCAGCAGACAGCTGAAGTCACAGGGAAGCCGACTTATCCAATACCTAAGGAAAGACAGGTGCCTCCAAGGAGAGACAGACATGAGCTTAAGAAGGGCCAATTCAGCTGGACCGCAGTAAGAATAATTCAGCTAAAATGGTTAAATTGGTAAAGGAAGAAATCAGCTAGTGAAATAGTACGGAACCCTGGGGTTGAAGATATAAAGGGAATTCACATGCACTTGCAGGCTCCTCTCCACAGGACCTACCTGGTTCTCCCACAAAAGACTGGCAGGAATTCTAAGAGAGTGTCTCCATAGATATTTCTATCCCACCTCTACCAAGGAACAAAAGCTTAAAACTGCAGAGTATAGGGCAACAAACACTGGGTGCACTAAGGGTCATGTTCTGTTACTCTAATTAAGCATCTGTCTTAGGCAGGCACTGTATCCCTGGATCTGGGGATGGGGGTGACCCTTCTGGGCTAGCATGACTAGACTGGTCCAAACCTAGACTCTAAAAACCTAGCAAAAGGAAAGGCAGGCTTCTTTCCCGGAATAAAAGTGATTTACTGCAGTCTTTACTGTCCCACTCAAGATGCCTGGCTGTCAGCAACAACAACAATAAAACCTATGAGGCGAAAGGGAAGATTAAAAAAACCCAACACGTTGATAAAAGACAAATCAGTTGATAGAACAAGACTCAGGTATGACACAGGTGTTGAAACTATCAGACGAGGAATTAAAAGTAACTGATTAATAAGTTAAGGACTAATAGAAAAGCTGGACACCATGCAAGATTTGATGGTTAATTTCAGCATACAGAACACATCTATGAGAAAGAATTAAATGAAAATTCTAGAAATGAAAACACAATAATAGAATGAAGAATGATTGAGGGGCTGGTCAGTTGACTTGATATAGTTGAGCAGAGAATCTGTAAACCTCAAGATAGGTTATTAGAAATTACACAAACTGAAACAGAAAAAAAAGGAGGTGGGAAAATGAACACAGCATCTAAGAGCTGTGTGACAATATCAGGCACCTTAAGTTCTGTGTAAATGAAATCCCAGAAGAGAGAAAGAACAAGGCAAAATTACATTTTAAAGAAATAATGGCTAAGAATTTTTCAAAATTAATGACAACCATCAACACAGGTCTAAGAAACTAAGAGAACACCAAGCAGGAAAAATAACAACAACACAAATATGCCTAAAATAGCATCTTAACACTTCTGAAACCCAAAGACAAAATAAGCCTTGAAGGCAGCCTGAGAAAAAAGAGGATACATTATATATAGAGAAACAAAGATAAAAATTACAGCAGACTTTTCATGGTAAAACAGGTAAGCCAGAAGATAATGGAGTGACATTTTTAAAGTACTGAAAGAAAAAAAACCAAAAAACTGTTCATCTATAATTCTATACCCAGCCAAAATATCTCTGAAACATGAAGAAGACATAGAGTTTTTCCAACAAAAGTGAGCAAATTCATTGCACGCAGACCTGAACTACAGGAGATGTTAAAGTGCAAGAAATATGGTACCACTAGAAACTTGTATTTACACAATTAAGAGTGATGGAAATGGAATAAATGGTTGTGAAAATTCATTTTTTTCTTCTTTTTAATTGCTCTAACAGATAACTGTCTAAAGCAAAGAGCAGCAGTGCATTATGAATTTATAACAGATGTAAAAATAAAATGTCTGATAATAACAGAAAGAATGGGAGGGCGGGATAGGTAATACACTGTTGTAATATCCTTACACAAC